TCTGTGAGGGATCTGCTGTTCCTGGGCTGCCCTATGGTACAAGGCTATTCACAAAAGCCTTGTACCATGTGACAAGCTGTGACCAATCACAGCTCACTCAGTACTTCTCAATGAGTGCAAGAATGCAGACAGAGAGAAAGAGAAATGATTGCTTTTACATCCTATATGGGTGTAAAAGCAATCAGTGTAAAAAAAAAAAAAAAATCTTCATCACCCCCCACAAGTAGTATAGTGTCACCATGGTGACACTGTACTGCTAGGGTGACAGTATGTAAAAAAAAAAAAAAAAAAAAAAAATATAAAAAAATAAAATAAAAATGTAAAAAAAAATGTTTAAAAATTATAATTTTTGGTTATAAACTAATTTGGATTTTTTTTTTTACTAAAAAGATAACGGAATAAATTTTGGCCAAGATTTATGATGAAATATTATTTATTTGCAAAATTTTATAAAAAAAAAACACTTTTTTTCAAAAATTTTGGACATTTCATTTACATAGCAAAAAAAATACAAATCCCAGTGGTGAATAAATACCACCAAAATAAAGCTTTATCTGTCTCAAAAAAATGGTAAAAAATTCATATGGGTACAGTATTGCATGACTGCGCAATTGTCATTCAAAGTGTGATAGCGCTGAAAGCTGAAAATTGCCCTGGTCAGGAAGGGGTTAAAAGTGTCCGGACTTGAAGTGGTTAAGCACGTTAATGACAAAATTAATTCATGGAATTTGATTTAGCAAATGATTTCTGATAATGGTGTGTGTAATTTTAACCCCTGCACCTGTTATCCTTGGTGGTCAATTGTAAGCATTTTGCGAAGACCTGCAATAGATTTACCACTAAACTTATGACAGTTTTCCAATTAGAAATACCTTAGTATACGAGGAAAGAATTTATGAATCAGGCTGTAATCTACCAATAAATCTGTCTCACCACCCCTGCTCTGTAGTGCCTTACTGTGCAGCAGAATTGATAAATCTCCCTTTATTTTCCCTGCCAAACAGTACGCCCAAAAACAAAAGGCACAGGCAGGGGCGGACTGACAACTCATGGGGCCCCGGAGCAATAGGGGATCATGGGGCCCCTGCAGAAGCGGACTGACAACTCATGGGGCCCCTGGACAATTGGGTGATCATGGGGCCCCTGTGTCCTTGCCCAAACTCAAAAAAGCCTATAAAAAAGGTACCAGGGGCATCTCATGGGGCCCCCTACTGACCCCGGGCCCTCGGGCAGTTGCTGATTTTCCAAATGGTCAGTCCACCCCTGGGCCCCTGTGTCCTTGCCCAAACTTAAGAAAGCCTATGAAAAAGGTACCAGGGGCATTTCATGGGGCCCCCTACTGACCCTGGGCCCTCGGGCAGTGCCCGAGTTTCCAAATGGTCAGTCCGCCCCTGGGCACAGGTGTAGAACTATGAACACAGCACATTTATTACTGCTTTATGGGATTAATCCAGAATTTGTATTGAATTTGTTTTGTATTTTGTTTAGGAAGCATTTGCAGCTACCTACAATTTCATTTGACTCTGCTGTTCACTTCCAGCAATGGTGCTAAACCTGTGGTCCTCAGAGCCCTCTGCTGTGGCTCTCGACCTTAAACCAGGGGAGGGCATGCTCAGGGTTGGCAACCCATTGATCGCGGTTTGTGCTTGCCGACCTGCCATCCCAGAGTTTCAGAGTTCATTGAGCAAGCAGCAAAGGAAAGAGGCGGCTGCGGAAAGAGCAGGAACTGCATAAGTTGATGCATCTTCTGTAGCACCAGCTCCTGTCCCAGGCGGAGTGATACCAACTTCTCCACCTCTTCCTCCCACAAGCATTTAGTGGCTGCAGGAGGAAAATGTTCATTATTCTATTCAAAATAACAAAATGTGAAATTTTGAACCATTTCATTTCAATGTGGGCTGTGACCAGTTACCTAATCACTTAAGTCGCCCTCGCTCTTCGAAAGGTTGAGCACCCCTGACCTAAGGTGATAATAAAGGCAATTATAAAAAAAAATAAAGAAAACTAATATGTTATACTGTTATACTTGGTTTTGCACAAAGCAGCCCCAATCCTCCTCTTCTTGGGTCACCCAATGGAGCTCCTGGAACCTCCCTCCTGCCGAATGTCCCCAGAGAAAGCAGTTTGATATGGGGACACCTAAGCAGGCTCGCTCACAAGCCACTATGCTGCATATCCATTCACGCTCATCTCAGCCCTACCCCAACTCGTCTCATTGTCTCACTGGCAATGATTGTCTTAGCCAATGAGGAAGGAGAGTCCCCAGAGAGCCAAGGCTCTCATGCACATCGCTGGATTGTAATGGGGCTCAAGTAAGTATTAGGGGGGCTGCAGCACACAGATGGTTTTTTTACCTTCATGCATAGAATGCCTGAAGGTAAAAAACCTTGAGCCTTTACAACCACTGTAACAGCTTCCCGATCGCCCTATAGCAGAAATACTGCTACAGGGCAGCACGGGTGCACAAAATCACGTATACATACGTGTTTTTGAATCTCCGGGTAGGGGGCGCACGCAAACCGCGTTCGTGACAGCGGCTGTCAATCACCGGGCCCCGGCCAGTAATTACCCGCCGGCGCCCGGTGATTACCAAGCATCTCTGACAAGGAGGAAGACTGTTTTATTTACAAACAGTCCTCCTCCCTGTCAGCTTGGGCATAATGCACGGGATGGCTGTGCAAAGGGCAAAGGGCGATTATCTTTTAACCTGCTGCTTTTAGGAAAAGAAGGTATATATTCAGATGCAGTTTACTATACTGTTAGGAGTTAGTACCAGGAATTAGGGACTTAATTTATCTGTTAAGATTTAGGGGTTAAATACTAGGTTATGAGTTAAGTGGTAAGTTAAAATGGTTGTAAACCCTACAAAGAAAAGAAAAAAATCCTCATAAATAAGTTTTACCTGTTTATCTACAGTATTCTCTTCTCTACATTCATCCAAAGTTCATAATTTATAAAGCTTGTCTGAGCTGTCAGAAAAAAGGGGGCAAAGAGCTAAATCACACTCTGTAGATCTCAATGAGAAGAGCTGATTGGAGCGCTGGGACACCCCCCTCCCCCCTCTGCATAACACACAGTAACAGAGCTGAGTCTGTCAATCACAGGCTGTGTGCTGGAGATCCTTCCTCTGTCATCTTTTTGTTGGTTGGTTTCAGGAAATCCTGTCAGCCGCCTAGATGATCGGAAGTGGAAGTTGTCCTCCTACCCTCCCTCCCCGTAGACTTCTGGGACACGTGACAGGTCCCAGAAGACTACGGGGCCATTCAGGATGTGCAGCGCTACTCACACATCAGCAATGGGCACCCGGCTGTGAAGCTGCAAGCTGTCGCAGCTGGGTGTCCACACTGAAGATACCTGCACCTGGAACACCAGACAGCTGGTGAAGCGGGCTGTGGGGAGGACACTGCGTGATTCTGGGACAGGTAAGTGGCTGTTTTTTAAAAGTCAGCAGCTACAGTTTTTGTAGCTGCTGAGTTTTATTTTTTTACAATGTGAGTGGAACTCCGCTTTAATCTCCTTTCTCTGTCCCAAAGGTGAGACATCAAAGGTCTGTTTAGACCCCTGATATTTCACCAAAGCCCCCAAAAAGTCATAAAAAATAATGAAAAATAAAATTGTAAAAAATAAAATAACAAATATAAAAAATGACTGACACCTATGGTAGAACTATCAGGGTTGCAAATGTTGCACTTGCATTCCACCACTCTTTGAGGTCCCCAAGACAGCAGGAAGAGGGCCTGCTACAGAACACGTGAAAGGGTCCTGCTGTGGGACTGTAATAAAGGGCCTTGCGATGAGAGTAAAAGGCCCTGGGATCAGTGGGGAAGGGCCCTGGCCTGGGGTCAGGGAGGCCCTTCATGGTTTCTTGCACTGGGGCCTTGAAGGTTCAATTATGCCCAGGGGCGGACTGACCATTTGGAAACTCGGGCACTGCCCAAGCGCCCGGGGTCAGTAGGGGGCCCCATGAGATGCCCCTGGTACCTTTTTCATAGGCTTTTTTGAGTTTGGGCAAGGACACAGGGGCCCCATGATCCCCTATTGCCCAACGGCCCATGAGTTGTCAGTCAGCCCCTGGTTATGCCTCTGGGGTGAGGCTAAAATGTTAAGGGTTAGGCAAGGGATATGGATTACTTTTACAAAAAAGGTATAATAGCCACATGCTCTTCCTGCTCATTACACATATTACTTTTTAAACCTTTGGTCTGTTATAATGACACAATTCTTAGTCAAACAGATGAGCAAATGCTAATAATTATAAATAAATGGACAAAATTAAAAAGCAATCTGTTTTCACCGTATGTAACCAAGCAGGCTTTCAGCTGCCTTCTTGATTGTGTGCCCTAATGTTAAGTAGTTAAATATTCTATTTGTGTTGACCACTACAATTATAGGGTTTTTTTTCTGCTGAATATTAACCAGAACATCGGCATTGTGCAGGAAAAAATTGGAATTCAAAAAGAATTGTTGATTGTTCCATACAATTTATACACAATATACTAAAACAAATACTGGGGATGGGTGTAATCACTGCTATAACAAAGATGAGAAAATTTAATTAAAATAAATAGCTCTGAAAATGAAAGTCCTCCACAGCGGGCGTTGATTATTACACTTTGCAGGAATAGCTGGCAGCAGCAGGGAGTTATTTAAAGGGATAAATTATCATCTTTGAATAAGACCAACCAGACAAGTGATTTGAGATGAGTTGATGTGACACGAATGGTCAGTTTCAGAAGCCTCTGCAAACCAACCTACGGAATCTATAGAGAGGAAATCCTGGAAGATTTAAAGTTTTTTTTAAATAACAAACATGTTATACTTACCTGCCCTGTGCAATGGTTTCCCAAACATCTTTTTGGATTTCCCATTATTTCTTCTACTAGTGACAATAGAAACCAATGGCAAAAGGCTGGAATAACAAAATGTTTCTTGGTATGGTTTGACTGTACTGAGGTTTCTGATTATTATGTGCCCTGTTGGTGGGGAGTTTGTTTCATTTCCTTTCCCAGAAACAGAAAATAAAATAAAAGATTTCTCCAATCCATCCCACAGAGTAAAGAGTACCAAATCTTCCATGATACCACAAAAAAATAGTCCATAAAATGTAAAGCACATTGAGAAAAAAAATCTTTATAGCTCTTTACTCAAGCATCAAAGATAACAAAAAAAAAGCAGCATTTCACCAGTTTTTAAGACACACGGGTCCCTTTCTCAAGGTGGCAGACATATTGTGCATAATGATGAAAATATGCATAAATATAAACACATATATATAACAACAGGGCTTTTTTTCTCAGAAAATAGGTGCAGGAATTCAACCATGACCCCCAAATTCCCCTCCCCCTACACGCACACCCTCCTAATTGCATCAAATTGTGAATGTGGTCAAAATTTGGTAACAGTAGGAGGGTCTTAAAGAGCTTTAAATACCAGGAATGCATTACGTACAGAGTACAGAGTTCAGTGTGTTGGGGAGTTACAGGGGTGCGCTATGTACATAATGTTCAGGGCTGCAGTGCATACAGCGTGCGGAGTTGAGGGGTGCCCTATACACAGACTGCAGAGTTCAGGGATGCCCTATACACAGATTGCAGAGTTCAGGGGTGCCCTATACACAGAGTGCAGAGTTCAGGGGTGCCCTATACACAGAGTGCAGAGTTCAGGGGTGCCCTATACACAGTGCAGAGTTCAGGGGGGCCCTATACACAGTGCAGAGTTCAGGGGTGCCCGATAGAACAGAGTGTAGAGTTTAGAGGTGCCCTATACACAGAGTGCAGAGTTCAGGGGTACCTTATACACAGAGTGCAGAGTTCAGGGGTGCCCTATACACAGAGTGCAGAGTTCAGGGGTGCCCTATACACAGAGTGCAGAGTTCAGGGGTGCCCTATACACAGAGTGCAGAGTTCAGGGGTGCCCTATACACAGTGCAGAGTTCAGGGGGGCCCTATACACAGTGCAGAGTTCAGGGGTGCCCTATACACAGAGTGCAGAGTTCAGAGGTGCCCTATACACAGAGTGCAGAGTTCAGGTGTGCTCTATACACAGAGTGCAGAGTTCAGGGATGCCCTATACACAGAGTGCAGAATTCAGGGGTGCCCTATACACAGAGTGCAGAGTTCAGGGGTGCCCTTTACACAGAGAGCAGAGTTCAGGGGTGCCCTATACACAGAGTGCAGAGTCCAGGGGTGCCCTATACACAGTGCAGAGTTCAGGGGTGCCCTATACACAGTGTAGAGTTTAGAGGTGCCCTATATACAGAGTGTAGAGTTTAGAGGTGACTTATACACAGAGTGCAGAATTCAGGGGGGCCCTATACACAGAGTGTACAGTTCGGAAGTGCCCTATACACCAAGTGCAGAGTTCAGCTGTTTACCTCTGCAACCTCCATCCACATCTCACTTTCACCCCTCTTCAGCTCTGACCTTTGCATGCAACCCCCCTCCACTGCCCCCATCTTCTCTGCCCAGGGGTGGACTGACCATTTGGAAACTCAGGCACTGCCCGAGGGCCCGGGGTCTGTAGGGGGCCCCATGAGATGCCCATGGTACCTTTTTCATAGGCTTTTTTGAGTTTGGGCAAGGACACAGGCACCCCATGATCCCCTATTGCCCAGGGGCCCCATGAGTTGTCAGTCCGCCCCTGCCTCGGCCCCTCCTTAAAAGCTCCACCATCTTCCACATGTCTTACCTCTGTTGCTCTATTAAGCTGAAGCACTCAGCTGGCTCTAGTACCTCCCTGCATGCTGTAGGTGGCTTGGCCTCTCTCATTTGTAGGTAGAGCAGCCAGTGGGGGTGTGGGCACCCATATTGCACCCAGACCACCTGCATCTCCCTTGTCCCCATCGTTGGAGCCGCTCAGGAGATCAGTACTGTGGGAGTTGACTAAAAAAAGGTTGATAAACACTGCTTTAAAGCACAAGGGAGTGCAACCCTCCAGATTTTTCACTTGTACATAACCCTCCATGGCTCCTGCCTGGGAATGGAGACTGTTATTCAGAAGCTGTAGACCGAGTTCACTGATTATTCATATTATCACTCCTTGCATCAATTCTGTCACTGAAAGACTTCAGGAACCTGTGAGGACTCTGCAATGGACACTTCTGTGAGTGAGAGGCAGCACCCACATCAGCGGGAAAAAATGTGGACATGGAAGGAAAAACTCTCCCGCACTGTGGACCCAAAGAAAGAAGACTGCAGATCTGGCCTAATATATGATTGTGATCTCAGGTAAATAAACAGGGCTTTTATTTTTTTTTTATTTTACCTAAATAAAATCTAGCGATTGCTAAAAGAGTTGGGGTGAAATGGTAGTTGTTTTAATCAGAGATTACCTTTAAATGCCTAAAGTGGTTGTAAAGGGTGACATTTTTTTACCTTCATGAATTCTATGAGGGGCCAGGAAGGCCGGCAGGTAAACTGAGAAGAGGAGGATCAGGACTGCTCTGTGCAAAACCACTGCACAGAGCAGGGAAGTAAGGCATGTTTGTTATTTAAAAACAAAAAGCCTTTAATAACATTTTAAACAATTATATTCCTGAAACAAATACTTAACCAGCAAAACACAGTGGTTTGTATGCACTATGGAATAAGAAAATATCAAGTGCTTTTGACAGACCTCCTTAGTTTATCTGCATTGAAAAGGTTTTGTGCTATAAAATACAATTCTGTTTCTTTCTGCTGAATAAATACCTTTTAATGTTTGAAGACTCATTTTATCTCCCAACCATTGTTTTTTACCTTCATTTATTGAACGCAATTAATAATGAAACCAATATTATATTTTATTCATTATGTATAATAACATACAGTATAGCAATTCTTACAATTTAAAAAAAGACAAAAACAAGTAACTTTTTTTTTCTTCTTCACATGGGGCACAAATAGTCCCCTATGTGATGACTTTTTGGTGACAGGGATTCTTTAATGAGGCATCTGGGGTCTAAAAAACCCTGAATGCTTCTCTTGGTCTCCATTGATGCAGGCATTGACATGGGGACCCAGAAGTGATGTTTTATGCATTACTTCTGGGTCAGCAAAAAAAAAAAAGAAGGGGATGAGAGCGGATTTGTGTCCATCCTGCTCCCTCCCCTTAACCTGGAATCAACTGCTGTTCTGGTCGCAGGCCCACGGATGGCCAAACTGAGCCTGGGATACATGGTTAGGGCACATGTGGGGAGTGCGGCCATTACTGGGGGTGTGTAGAAGCAATTGGGCTGTAGCATAATCACCAGAATGCTTCCATTTTATCCCCCACCATTGTTTTTGACCTTCATTTATTGAACGCAAATTGATATGAAACCAATATTACATTTTATTCATTATGTATAATAACATAGAGTATAGCATTTCTTACAATTTAAAAACAAACAAAAACAAGTAATTTTTTTTTCTTCTTCACATGGGGCACAAATAGTCCCCTATGTGATGACTTTTGGTGACAGGGACGAGACATCTGGGGTCTAAAAAACCCTCAATGCTTCCCTTATTCTGGTAACAGCATTGACATGGGACCCAGAAGTGATGTTTTATGCATTACATCTGGGTCAGCAAATAGAAGGGGATGAGAGCGGATGTGTGTCCATCCTGCTCCCTCCCCTTAACCTGGAATCAACTGCTGTTCTGGTCGCAGGCCCACGGATGGCCAAACTGAGCCTGGGATACATGGTTAGGGCACATGTGGGGAATGCGGCCATTACTGGGGGTGTGTAGAAGCAATTGGGCTGTAGCATAACCACCAGAATACTTCCATCTGACAGGCAAGAGTCTGCTTGTCAGATTTGCACACAATCACAATGTATATCCCTCCTGCTGTCATGCCCATACAAAGTACGGACATGGCAGCAAAAGGGTTAAAAGAAAAGCCAAAACACTTGTCAGGATGACCTGAGTGCAATATAGAAGAAACATGAACTATCTTGTGCTCTGTGACCCAACCCGGGGTAGGAAGATGGAACCAGGACTTGAAAATTTCTACCACCAGTGCATATGCGGTTGTGCAGCTTCAAACAAAGCTGGGGAAGCCTGACCAATATTGTGCAGTGAAAAACAAACAAAAAGCACACCAACCTTGCGCATTACCTCAATAAACCAAAATGTATTAGTCACAGAATAATACTCACAAACAATGAAGTATATCAAGCATGTAAGTCCACAAAGAGACTAAGAATAAAAGCAACTGACGCGTTTCGAAGGGCGTCCCTTCTTCCTCAGAGCTCTGAGGAAGAAGGGACGCCCTTCGAAACGTGTCAGCTGTTACCTGAGTGTCCACTCCTATGATGGGACATAGACATAGGCACAGGCTGCTTTTATCCTTAGTCCCTTTGTGGACCTACATGCTTGATATACTTCATTGTTTGTCAGTATTATTCTGTGACTAATACATTTTGGTTTATTGAGGTAATGCGCAAGGTTGGTGTGCTTTTTGTTTGTTTTTCGCTTCACTGACCTGAGTGCAAGTCATTGTGTTTTGGGGTACAAAACACCCTTTTCTTTATAGGGATGATATTTTGTAAACAACACTTGTAAGGAAAGTAGGGCATGCCAAAGGGCTGCACTAAATCCTTGTAATAAATGTGTCAGGAATCATCAGCAGAGATGGCCAGATCTACACGGTTATATTCAGGAAATTGGGGCCAGATTGGGGTTCTGATTACGAATCACTTCAACATCACGAATATGACAAAACAAAATTCTTCAATTAACTAATCCATCGAAAATTAAACCAAACAAAAATTTCCAATGTGCACAATGTCTAAAATAAAAGCAGCATTCATCATAAATGTTTTACCTTCTTTTGTTGTTTATTTAGAAGGACCTATTATGTTGCATGTACATGTTGGTTAACCACACCAATTTACTTCTAAATACATTAAATCCATTTTACTCTAATATGTTTCTGTTGTATGCGTTTCCTACCTTGGTACACATTCTTCTTGATTCGGTTCCATAAAACAACCTGTTCAACATCAAAAAAACATCCCACTTTGTTTGGAACACCTGCCATTTGTCGGTTTTATGATTTGTGTTCTGGCAGCTTTAAAAAGAATAGCCTCCTCTGGAGAGTTTGCTTAATTTTTTTTTCTTTTTTAAGATGTCATATTTTCCTATTACACATTTTGAATATATTGCCACAGAGTAGCTGATTAATTCATTTGCGGAGCCAATAAAAGACACATTAAGCAGATGTGCAGAACATTGTGTGAGCAAAAGGATGTATGACTTGCATTATTTATTTGAAACCAACCAATGATAAAATAGAAAAAAAAATCATAACAACATAAAAACAAGTCATGAGCAAGTTAAGGAAACAAGAAATCATTTATGACAGTCCCAAGAATTTGGTGTAACCAGTGGTTTGGAGGATAGGTAAACAATTATTTTTGCAAAAGGCTGTCAAGATGTGGTAATTGTTTAATGTACCTGCATTTGCTGCTGTATTTGAGAGAATATATAGACTAGTCTGATTTCTGGGCTATTTTCTCATATTTATTCATTGAGCATCTATCAGTTGTAAGAAGATTCTTTAAGGAGGCAGCTTGTTGTTAAAATGCATGCAAGATCCAATCCAGGGTAAGGGCAAACTCCAATCTGGTTCTATAAATGCACCATCCACCAGCCCATCGGGACTTCTTGGGCTATAATGATACTTCTTATACAAGTAAGGTGTACTACACATAGAGCTTGTATGTCATATAATTTAATCAAAAACTTTTATTTATACAGTATATCATGGCAGTACAGCATTAAAAATACTCACATGCCTCATGGCAACTTTCAAACCTTACTAGCACTTTATCAAACCTGAAGTATATGTTGGCGCAGGGTGCAAATGTATCATTTACTCTGGAAACAAGTTTGAATTATCAAGAAAATGTTCCATACAAGCAAAGTAAAAGTACTTTACACAGCATGTTCATACTTCCCTGATCCCCAACTGCCCCCAGTCAACTGCCAGACCACCCAAGAAAAAAAACAAGTGCTTCAAAACACTAGGAATAGTTGACACTCCTCCATATTCCTACAATGTACTGCTTGGTGCCTGAGCTACCAATGTCAGGCCCAAGTACTGTTATGTGGGGGCCAGGGGCGGACTGACAACTCATGGGGCCCCCGGGCAATAGGCAATAGGGGATCATGGGGCCCCTGTGTCCTTGCCCAAACTCAAAAAAGCCTATGAAAAAGGTACCAGGGGCATCTCATGGGGCCCCCTACTGACCCCGGGCCCTCGGGCAGTGCCCAAGTTTCCCAATGGTCAGTCCGCCCCTGGTGGGGGCAAAGGAACTGTGCATATCTCTGTGAAAGTAGCTTTTTAAACCCTTTAATCCTTTTTTTGTTCAGCAGCCCTAGATATATGTAAATATTAGGAACTAATATAATAGGAACTAATATAGGTCATAGAAACAAGGCTAAGTGGCTCAACTATGCAATGAAAACATAAGAACTGGGGTGCAGAAAAATGGCAGCAATAGGAAATAGGAACTAATAGGAAATATTAGGACTGCAAAAACTAGAGATAAATACGCTCACCTGGAAGTAAGGGTGGCTCCCAAGATCACTTTGCAACTTCCAAAATGGCAGTAATAGGAAATAGGAACTAATAGGAACTATTAGGAATGCGAAAACTAGAGAGAAATACGCACACCTCTG